ATGCAGAGATTCTGCTACCAAATTTGATCAAATGACTGGGACAAGTTGCAATATCACCATCAAAGTAAAATTTAAATAGGAAAGGATTACATAAGATGAAAAGGGTAAGAATAAATGACAAAAGGCATCATGCATCACCAGGACACGACATTATTAAATCTTTGTGCAACGGGAGAGGATATTGCTCTAAATATGGCTCTGGGAGGATTAGATGCGTACAACCAATTTATAAAGCAATTCTGCTTTATGTCGAGAGCTGTATACTGCTCATATTCTCTGACCCAGCAATCCTCCACTTCTGATCATCTATTCTTAAGAAGTACTGCAAAATGTGGACAGATAATTCATGTCCCAAGATTACAGTGTTATTGATAATAGCAACAACCTGGAAATAATCTAACATCCCCAACAACTGAGAAAAGTATGTATACTGAAATATTTAAATTGATGCTTTTAAACAGCTTTAATAACCTGCAAAAAGTGCTTGTTAAAATGTTAGGCGAAAAAAAGCAGAGAACTTTCGTGTACAGAATATTAAGTATACTAAATACACAGAGAAAAAAAGGCTCAAAGGTAATAAACTAAAATGGTAACAGTGGTTAGGGACAGTGGGAAATAGCAGTGATTTAAAAATCTTTATATTCTTTCTAAATTTTGCATACTAAGTATGTGCCATTTACATAATAAAAACATAACAAGGTCTACATGCATCAAACATGGCTAAATATACAGACATGAAAACATTAGAAATATAATTAAGTGACAAAATATAATTTAGTGTGAAAAATTAGCTCACCACTGTCCCACAGGACAGATAAATTAGAATAAGTATCTGCTGTAGATGGCATTGTCAGGAAAGTCTGAAAGTCTTCAAAATGGGCAAAAAAGAGACCACCGGGTTTCTTGTGTAGTACACTCTTGGCTTATCTAGGTCTTTCCTTCTTTTAGTTACTTTTAAAATTCTAACATATAAAAAGACGACAGTAAAGCAAATAGTTCTCATCCACAGAAATGCATATGAATTTTGTCTGGTAGAATGCAACTGCTTGTTGCCCTATGGATAGTGACCAATTTTGTTCGTTTCCGAACTCCGGGTTGCCTACACACGGGATATGTTCTTTGAATTTTCCTTTGAGCCTGTGTTAACACCTTACTGGTTCTCAAATTAATGGGTTAACAAAAATCTTTGATGTGTACCTCTTATATTTGCACAAGAGACTCTACTGTATCTTTTTACAGAGTTGTCTTTTAACAGCATCTACTTCATAACAAAGAAAGGAGAGCTATTTTAAGATTTTATATTCTCGAAGTTGTCAACTGAAATAAATGCACAACATCAAAGTTGAGAGCTATGTTTTATCTGGTGGACATTTCTGAGGACTTGAACCCCTTCGAGCGGAGCGCGGGATGACAGCCTCTCAGATTGCTCTGAGGCACTGCTCCGAAGAGGTAGGGGTGGAGCCAGGATATACAGGAGTTTTACAACAAAGACCAGGCAGTTGGAGCATTAAAAGATTACTTGTTAATTAAAGAAAACCAGGCATCTCAAGCTAAAGAATTTAGTGCTTTTCTATGTATGGGAGGGAGCAAACAGTTGGGCTCATTGAATTCATTCCTTTGACAAGCACCTAGCTATCTAGGGCCAGTACCCCGTACTTTCTTATTCTGAGTCCCCTCAGGGTGCACCATTGTGAGCAGAGGCCGGGTTGCAGGCTTGTCTTCACTGGGGGAGGGGGGGTGCATGTAGCAGCCACTGATGACTTAATGGCTTCAGCACTCACTGTTTACTAATATGGTTTGCAATATTTTTCGTTCACAGAGTACAACCTACATCTTCTCAAGTATCCACAGGATAATGATCAAGATAAATAACGTAATATGTAGTGAAGAAATCTCAACACATTAAAAATTACTATCAACTACTTGCTTTTATCCTAATACTATGAAATGAGAAATGAGTGAGGACATTAAAAAACGATTAGAGACTAGTGAGAGAAAAAATACTATGTATTAAAGTCAATTGCTGCAGTGAAAGTACCATTTAAAGGTGTATTTCTAAACGTTCAGCCTTAATTACTCCCCCAAATTTAAGCATTTCATTTCACATATGAAAAAGTACAGCAGGAACAATAAACCCAAGGAAATAGAGGTAGGAAATAATAATGATAAAAACTATAAAAACATACAATATAAGGGAAATGTAAATAAATGTATCAGGGGTTGGTTACTAGAAACAACTAATTAAAACAGGCAAAACTCTGTCAAATACAAGGTTTTTAAATGTAGCAAAAAAGGATAAAAATTAAACCAACACCTGAGCTCTAACAGCACACATTTTATTGAACTTAATTTGTATTATGTGCCTGTTTTGCTTCACACAGTATTTTACAGTTCTTTTTTCTTAAAAATAATAAGAACATACTATGCATAATGGATCGTAAAACTGAACACATCCATGGCAGTCTCATTTAAAAATATACCAAAATGGACACCAAAACATAAAGAACTAAAATGAGGACTGATCTTAAAATCACTGTTAAAATAACCCCCTCCCCTATTTAGTACCTCAACCCAAGTCAATGGGTTCATTCTATTTTTGAATAGAAAAATGATTCTAAGTTAGAGAAGCTGATTCACACACAGAAAATATTCAAAGCTGCCTACAATTCACTGCCAAACTATCATCCAATCTCAATTTCTCATGGAGAAGGAGATAAAACGCTCAGCTAGTGACAAGGATTCAGCAATGTGGTAAAAGAATAATGTGCCAATTAGGGTTTATCCCAGGAAGCGAAGGACTGACTGTTCAATAGGAGAGAATCTAATAATAGAATCCACCCCATCAATAGCTTATGAAAGATCATATGATCCCTGAAAAATACCAGAAAAGCATTTGAAACAATTTACTACCACCCCCGAAGGCAAAACTGAACGAAGAGGATGCAAAAATATTTTTCAACAGGCTGAAGAGGATTCTAAAATAAGCAGTGGTATTAATATTATAATTAGTGAAGAAATACTAGACAGAAGCATTTGAACATCAGCAGCAAAACAAGGACGGCTGACGTAGGGCCATTTCAATGTTTGCGAATCTGGGGGACATGCGACAGGACACGTCAGAGAAACAGGAACACCGTTCAGAAGTGAAGGTGATCACTAGGTAGCAACTTACATTACGACAGCATATCAACAAAAGCCAACGAGTCAGGTAAAATCAGTGGATGCAAGAGAAGTTTCTGAAATAATCAACAAGCTGCATTTCTACAAAAAAAAAAAAATTGGGTTGGGGGAAGGGTAGAGCTCACTGGTAGAGTGTTCACGAGGTCCTGGGTTCAATCCCCAGTACTGCTATTTAATTAAGTAAATAATTTAATCAATCAATCAATTAATTAAATGAATAAAACCCTAATTACCTCCCAATTTTTAAAAAAATTGCTTAGAAAACACTCAACAGTAAGAAATGCCCCTTACAACTTACCACCACCACCAACCTACCATAAGAACGCACCAAAGGCTGCATGATTTCCAAGAGCAAAATCTCCAAAACTGCTCTATGTTGAATTGGTAGGCATTAAAATCTTCTCCTTGACGGAGAATTGACTAGTTATGACCAAAGATCAAGAAGCAAGCATGCAGGCTATTAATGCTGAGATAGCATTACTGGGCAGTGGCCCCATTCACAGATTTGAAAACTGAGGCTCAAGGCAGGGATTGTAATGTGGGCATCTGGTGCACCTCACCCAGCCCATGAAGAATGGAGCTAGGGCCAACACCCCTGTTTGTGCAAGGATGTCAGAGTTTGGGGTCTTTCTGCCCTCCTTTCTAAATCCACTGCCCACCTTGATACCTTCAGAATATCAAATAGTCTACAAGGATGAACAATGAAAGGGAACTGATCTCACATCCTATTAAAATATACTTTAAAACACCAAGACTCAAAACAGCAGGACCCTAGGACAGAAACCGAAATTTGCCAGGCTCTGTGCTAAGATCCCTTACTTCATTCAGTCCTCAGAAGGACTCTAGAAGGTAAATGCTCCCATTCCACAGATGGAGAAACTGAGGTTCAGCAAGAGAAGTGACTGGCTCAGCCAGGCCTGACTGATTCAATCAGCTAAGCTCCCTGACCTCCACCTGCAAGTGGGTCTGGCGACAACTCTGCAGGGTTCGCCTTTCCCGGCCTCTGTTTCCATAGCTCTGAAAGGAGGGGAGTGACGTCAGCCACCAGCAGAACTGAAGTGAGCGTTCAGTCCTGGCCATCCAAGGTCCTTAGGAAGTTTGCTGCCCCTTTTCTCCGTGAGAAGGAACACCCCCAACCAGGTCCGGCAGAAGCGCCAGTCCAGGGAGGATGCAGACTCACACGTGGGGATGGAACTGGGGGCGGGTGCTTATGCCCATAGAGCTACGATGCCAAGGCACCACAATGCCCAGCTCGCAACTGGCCCCATCTCCCAGCCCTCCATGCTCCTCCCCCACATCAGGGCTTCCCTCCACGACATGCAGGGACTCCAGCACTCGGCCCCCTCCCAACACTCCTAGTGGTTCTGCTGCCCAGCTCATGTCTCCTGGCCCAGACACTGCACTCACCCCGGATACCACTAGATCCCTGGTCAAGTTCAGATGCTCACATCCACCCCTCTCCCTCCTCACTCATAACCCCGCAAATCATCAGGTCTGACGCCTGTCCAAGGATCCTGAGGGCTCAATGTGACTGCCCCTCCCTTATAAGACTCCATCCCAGGACCATGCCTGATTCTGGAAAAGGGCTTCACACTCCAACCAGACCCTGCTGGACAGAGCCATTCGTCGAGCCGCTCCACCCACTTCACAGTTTACCTCACTCCCTCTAGGAGCCCCAGGCAAAGCCCACCTCAGAGCCAGATTCACCCAACACCTGGCATCACAAATCCAGGCATCCTTTGCTGAGGATGCTCTGGGGAAATGTAGAACCAAACCAGCACTCAGACCCTGGACCCCCAGGGGCCACCACACCCACTGACCTTCTTGGTGTAGCCCATGGCCTTCAGGACAGAGTGATTCAAGGTCTCCAGGGAGGCCAAGACGTCCTCGTAGTCCCCCATGTGGTCCACAAAGTAATCTGGGGGAAGGGAAGGCAAAGGTCAAGGGTCATGGGAGGACTGTGCCCCTCCCCCCGGGCCCTCCCAACCATGCTGCCTGTGCCCCTCATTCACTGCTTCTGCCCAGTCCCACCCCTACCCTCAAAACACACCACACCCAAGTCTTGGTCCCTGCAGAGCGGGCACCTACCACACAGCTCCTTGGTGTCCACATGGCTGCAGAGAGAGAAAGGGGGTGCTCAGAGGCAGGTCTGTCCAGGTCCCCCCACCCCCTCTACAGCAAGCACAGCCCACTGCAGAACACCTCCCCTCCCTCCTCTCTTTTGCATCCTCTGCCCTGACACATTAAGCCCCACTTTACAGATGAGGGAGCAGCAGGTAAAGGACGCTGCCCCCTCCCCAGGGATCCACGTCTATGCATCTGTCTGACCCCATCACCATGCCACCCACCCCAATCCTCTCCCAAAGTCATCGGCTGAGAACACTGTGAGCAGATAGAGCTAAACCAGGGGTTGGGAAAAAGGAGGGAAAGAGCCCGAGACTATTACAGGATGTCAACAAAACTCTCACAAGATGCGCTGCCCTGGGCATCCCTGCCTGCAGGGTCCTGGGGCTCTGCTGAGAGAGGAGAGTCCTCCTGGTTCTCATCCTAGCCCTGCTAGCCCTTGGGTCTGGCAACCCCACTCCCACAGAGGGGAGAAGCATCCAGTCCTTCCTTGGCGGAGGCTGAGCCCACGAAGACCCCCTGCGCAGATGAAGGCACACGCAGCAGCCTCAGAGGCACCAAGGGGCCTGAGCATTCGTGCGGGTTCTGATGACCTTCCCTTCCAGTTCCCTGACTCAGAGAGGAGGGGCTGGCTGAAAGTGTGTGCTGGGTGGAATCCAACTCCAGCAAGATGCTCCTGAGAAAAGGCTCGCGGTTCAGAGGCCCTGCAAACTCTGTCTTGCAGGTTTCCCCAGTTCGCATCACATATTAAAATCCTGGGGGCAGATATCACTCAGCGGTAGAGCCCATGTTTGGTGTGCACAAGGTCTTGGGTTCAGTCTCCAGTACCTCCATTAAAAAAAAAAACATAAACCTAATTACCTCTCCCCCGCAAAAAAAAAAAATTGTTAAAAGTTCTGGCAAATCCTGCAGAAAGGAAGCCTATTAAATGGTGCTTTAAAGCAGTATCTCCCCCATCTTTCCGAGCCATGTGAATGGTTTTGGGTAGAAAGCCAATTTAGCATCCTGAGGAGGGAGTCACACTCCAGAGAACGATGGATACAGAATACTCCTGAAAGTCTTTAGAGCTCTGACCTTCTCTAATGGAAAGCCCACCCTGCCCGCACTCACAAGCTGTGTGTCAGTGCCCCTCTCTCCCCTACCCAGCTGCCCAAATGAGGATGAATAATCAACAGGCACCTGCTGAAGCCCTTTCAAGCTCCCTGGGGGGCTGCAGGCACCGCTCAGAACCTCCATCTGGCTCCAGAAACAAAGCATCCCCCTGGAGTGTGCAGCAGGAAGCTGTTTCTTTCAAGTGGCCTTTCCCTGGGCAAGGATGCCCGCTCCACCTGCCCCACCCTGGCTCCCAGGACACTCAGCCCCACTTTGGTCCAGGCCATCTCTAGCCTGTCACAGGGGACTCCAACTTATCAAATCTGCCCCCAAGCAGCCCCCAGGAACTGAGGTCCTCATAATCTGAGCGGGGTGGAGAAGGGGGCTTCATCCTGCATGGGGAGCCCAAGGAAAGCAGGAGGTAGTTCAAGCTGGAAAGGGTCGGATTCGTTAGAGGAGAATGTGAGCTTTTGCACTCGATTTAGGGATGAGCTGGGGCTGGAGCTTTTGGCTGACTGAGCTGCAGGTTAAGGTTCTGATGGAGGAGAGGGATGGAGAAAAGGGAATTAGGTGCAGCAGAAGTAAGGTTACGGTCAGTTAGCATCAGTGTGGCTTAAGGCGGGCCCCAGGGAGAAGCAGGGTCACAGAGTTCTTGTTGAGACTGGGGATAAGCAAAAAGCATTGTGGTAGAACTGGGCTAAGTTGCCGCATCTCCCCCTTTCCTCATTCTGCAAAATTCAGGCTCTCTCCCTGCTTCGCCACCTATGCTCAGAAAAGAGAAACACTTGCCAACATCATGTCAATTGGTTCCCTCCCCAAATTGCCCTGACGCGGAGGGAAGGGGGGCAAACAGATCCAACTTTTGGATTAGGGAGTTTGAGGTCTCCCGCCCCTACAGGGAGTGGGCAGTAGAGACTGAGTGAGAAAGACGCAGCCACCCCACTCCCTCCAACCCCCCGGAGGATCTGCTCCTGCCCTACACGCAGCTCACTTGGTGTTGTCAGAGTCGATTGTGTGGAAGAGATCCTCCAGTTCTTTCTCGTTGAGGACGCCATCTGCAAAGAAGAGCTGGAATTCCTCCAAGGACAACTTCCCATCATCTGCGAGGAAGGGAGGGAGAGGGGAGAGCAGCAGGTGTCTAAGAGATGGGACATCCCCAGAGCCAGACAATCCCCAAACTAACAGATGACCTCCAGCTCAGATAACCCCTGCCTGCCCCGCTAATCCAAATTAACCAGCAAACTCCAGCTCAGGGAGCTCACCAACTCATCCAGCTAATTCCCAAACCAACAGACAAACACCCACTTACAAGTAATCCCCAAATCAACAAATGCTGGGGCTCATTATGCCCCATCAACAAGTAGAGCGCCCCTGTGCCCCGCCCCCATCAATCTTCTCTTCAAGTCACCTGACCATCTAGAGGTACAGGTACTACTTAACGTAGCTCCACACCCGTGAGAGGCAGGGCCAAAGCGGGGCAATCTGATGACCACTCTTCATTGTTTCCAAATGCTGAGATAATCTCTACACTCTGAAACCGTCTCCACAGCAGCCTCCTCCAAGCCAGGGTGCTGACGCTGGGGAGGGGATGACCCCTCTCCACGCTGCCTTCGCAAGTTCTGACCAGCGGAGCCAGCTCCAGTAGTGACACAGAGTTCTCAGGGTGCCAGGGATGCAGCCCTGAGGATGCTAAGCCACATGGGGAGGGGTTGCCAGGCCTGGGGCTGCGGTTCTGGGATGGGGGGCAGGGCTCTGGACAAAGGGCACCCCCAAGCAGATGCACGCCACTTGTCCCCTCTATCTCACCTCTTCTTCCTCCACATGCAGTCACCCTGGGCACCAGCATCTGCTGGGGACATTCTCATGGGGTTGGGCAGTGGGGCAGACAGGCCACCGAGGAGGGGCTCACAGCAGAACTCCAGGGACTCCCTCCCACCTAGGCATTCCTGCTGAGCACACTCTGGCAAGTGATCTCCACCCACCTCCACCGCCTTTCCAAGACAGGCTCCTGTTCTGCCTTAAAGGAGCCGAGTTGTGGGAGGCAGTGGAGGTCAGGGAGAAGGGTGGGCCTGGCCCCTCTGCTGACCCCTTCCACTACTTCCAGCCAGTTTGCAATCAAAGCCCTTGAGAGCCCACGTGACACTTAGTGTGGAGGAGAAAGAAATGTCTCCTTGGTGGGGGAGGGGAAGCAGCCCAGCAGCAGGCACTGGGGGAAGGGGCGCGCAGGCTGGATCGCAGTCCCCCAGTTCTCTCCGGTAGGTACCCTTATCCAGGGCACTATCGGCCCAGTTGGACCTGGCAGACCTACTTGGGCCTGGAGCAGAAGGCACTCATACATTTTAAAGGCGCCAGAACTTCTATCTCTGCTGCCAGCAGCTCTACAGGGGCTCAAAGTCGGGCAACAGGAGAGAGCACTCCTCACGCCTTGCGTGGCTTCCCTCAGCCTGTGCGGAGAGACTCGAAAATAGTGTCTGCATGTTGGGGGGCTGAGGCAACGTCCCATATACCTCCAACATCCCAGCTCAGGGTTCAAGGTCACAGACGAGGAATGAATTTGCGACTCTCAAAAACAAGAACCCCCCAAACAAAAGCCCCCATTCACACTCAGAAGACCCAGAAACCAACCATAAAAGGTACATGATACCAGCTGTGAAATCTGTAAACTCAGCTGTGGCTCTTTCTCTTCTGTGAAAGAGACTTTCCAGATTTCCTTTGATGAGACATATAAGAACCCAGGAGGCACAGTTTAGAACCTGGGTGGACACACAGGGCTCTGGGTGTCCACACATTCAGTCCTCACGGGCTCCCCGATGGCATAGGTGACAGAGCCGTACTGGGCACTGAGTGGTGAAGGGACCTGCCCGGGTCCCACAACTGGAGCTTGAACCCAGGCCACCTGGCTCCTGAGTCCATATGCTCTCAACCAGACCTGGGGCAGGGTCTTGTGGCAAGACCCCCAGCCACGGGGCTCCGTGGAAAATCTGGGGACAAGTCTGGACTGAGTGGAAGCCTGCTGGGATCGATTAGTTATGTCTGCCACGGGCACGGGGCTTGGTTGGGGGTCTCCCTGCCTCCCTCTCCTGTGAGTCCAGGGACCTCCATCCAGCCTGCACTCAGAACAGGCGGAGAGGGGCCCGCCAGGCCTCTGGAGCACAAAGCCTTCTCGGTGACATTTCCCTTGGTTGTCCCACTGCAGCCCTCACAAACCCAGATCAGCTAATAAGGAAGCAACATCTGCCCGGGCCTCTGTCCAATTACATGAGTGAGCAGGCCGGCACCTCCAGGACCCCAAGTGGGCCATTTGCAGGTGTCCTCGCTAATTAGCACGAGCTCAGCCTCTGTCACAGTGACCTTTGAAATGCCAGGCATCTTCCAGTGTCCCCGTCCCATGGAGGGTAATGCCGTCTGGCACTCAGCCCTCCGCCGCAGCCATACCACTCTTCCGGGTGCCATACCCCCCCAGGTGTCCAGGCAGAACCCCCCCCACCTTCTGCCTCCCCTTGGGAGCCATGCCCAGTCCCCACCTCCACTTCCACGAAGATGGCTCTGTCCCTGGAGCCATCAAGACAGGACAGCCTGAGCCCTTGCTCCGGTGATCCCAAAGGCTAATTCTACTGCAACGTGCGGCCACAGGCCTAATTTGAGACCACATCCCCCTCTTCCGCCACACAGGCTTTCTCGCTGCTGGGGTCACCCAGGGCAGAGCCAGCATCCAAGGTACTAAACAAGTGTGCGCACGAGTGTGCATCTCTGGCTCTGTCTACACCCACACTCATACGTCCGTCCACACAATTCTGCCCACACAGTGTATGCAAACTGTGCTGGGCTGAATTGGAACCGCCTGACCTGCTCCCCAGCTGAAGACCTGCGGTCTCTCATGTTCCTTTCCCAAGCCTGGTTTGTGTCACCTGTGAAAAGGGGGTGGTACTCCTTCTCCCAGTAGGAGCACAGTGAACATCAAATGAGGAGGTCTGTTAACGTCTTGGTGCATAACTGATGCCACTGGCCGCCTCCACCAGGTGGTCAAGTCCTGGCAGTCCCAGCAAGGGCTGGGAATCAAACACTGGTTGAAAAACCCAAGGGCTGTTTTCCGAGGCACTCATCAGCTGGTCTGAGGGCTCGTTGACTCCTTACAGCGTGCCCAGACCCAAGCCTCCCTCTACCTTCACTACAGCTCTGTGAGCAAGTCTGTCACCTGCATCGGCCCACACCAGGGACAAGCCCAAATCCCTACCTGTAAAAACCTCACAATCGGCTGAGGGTTGTGGCCAGCACACTGCGAGGACCTCTCCACCCCAGGCAGGTGCACACTGAAGACTAGAGAGAGGCCTGAATCAGGGGTCAAACCCCCAAACTCCTTTCTCGAATCTCTAATGCTGTTCAGGCCGCGATGGCAATACCATGGCAATTTCCCCCTACATTGCTCTCCTTCCTCCCTGCTTCCTATGGAATTGCTGCTCATGGTCCAGGGTTCCAGAGGCCTGGGAGGAACCAATGTCATACTCAGGGTGCAGTCAAGAGACGGAGACTCCTGGGTGCTGATGTCCAGCCCAGGCCTGAGCACCCCCTCCTGTCTCCCGAGGCCTCACCTTTTACACCCAACACGATGGGGAGACAGCTCCAGAGAAACTCTCAGGATCAGGAGGGAGGAGGGCTCGGGCCCGGGTGAGAGCTGCCACCCTGAACTGCAGTATTTTCCCCATGAACAAACACTGAGCACTGCCTGATTCTCTTTTAAAAAGTCTGCCACCCACGTCTCCTCCCGCATTCTCCCAACAGCCCAGGGAAGGAGGCAGATTAAATGTTATAGTCCCACTTTACAGATGGGGAAACTGAGGCCCAGAGAGGGACTGTGCCTTGGTTAAAGTCCACAGAGAGTTGCTCTGGGCCTTAGAATGAGGACCACAGTATTCCTACAAAGCTAGAACACTCTCTGTGGCAGCTTCAAGATTCAGGTTGGCCTTGGTAAACTTTATTATCCTCTGGTCCCTGCCTTTCAGAAAGGTCCAGGGGAAGTCGGGAGAAGGGGCGTGTCCTGAATTCGCTGGTCACAACAATGTGCTGCTCATTTTGCCAGGGAGGCTACATGAGGTGGGGGAAAGTCCTGGGGGTCCACAGTAGGGCCTCGGCTGCCTTCATGCAGCTGGGTGACCCTGGGCAAGTCACTGACGGACTAAATAGAACAGGGGCAACAGTGCTAACTGCCTCAGGTGGCTTTGGGGAGGACGGGTGCCTGGGCCTAGGAAGGGCCAAGAGTGAGGCTGGGGGCTCCTTAAAGGGTGGTCTTTGGGCCCCGCCTGGGCTGCTCTGGTCCAGCCCAGCTTCAGAAGGTTAAGGCACACCAAGCATTTACCATGGGCAAGACATCACAGCGTCACAGACATCTACTCATTAAGATGGTGAACCCGAGGCAGAGAGCAGAGCCAGGACTGAGCCTTCTAACTGCAGGGTTCTGCACTTTGAACTGCAAAGAGACGGGTCCCCCACTGGGGGACAGCCTGGGAGGGAAACTCACCATTTTTGTCTGCCCGGCGGAAAATCTGCAGGGAAGAGATGTTGAGTCAGTGCCGGCCAGGGAGGGGCAGGCACCCTCCAGTGGCTTCTGACCACCTCCCCTCCAGGTGGGCTTGGGGAAGCTGGGCCCCCTTCTCCCTGCCTTGGGAGGAGACCCCAGACTGGGATCCAGGGACAGAGGGAGGATGTTTCAGGCAGAGGCCCTCCCAACCCGCGTGGAAGCAGCTGCCCCCTCTCCCTTCTGTGCCGCCAGCCTGCCCACGGCCACGCTGACACACGCACACACGCGCGTGGACACATGCTCACACCCTTCACATGCTGGCGGGCGTGCTTCCAGAACCATCAGTCCCCGTGCTGCACCCACTGTCAGGCAGTCACACTCACAATTCGCATCCTGCCCCACGGATGCAGCCACCTGCCTTACACCCACTACCCCAGACCCCTCAAGAGCCTGGGAGTTTGGGTTAAGTCTCAACTGATGTGTCAGCTAAGGGAAACTCCAGGCCTGGTGACCGGACCAGCCAGAGCAAGATGGATTATTTTTTTGGGTGAGGGAGAGGTAGGAGCAGGTTGCTGGGAGCTCAGAAATCCAGGTACAGATGCCAGGTTCTGGCTGCATGGGGGTGGGAGTGGGGGGAAAGGGGCAGCCCGATGCCCCACAGCCTCAGCGGAGACCAGGTAACTCGTCCTCCTGGTATTTGTGGGACCAGGTAAGCCCTGCTGATGGAGGGAGGAGGGGAGGCACCACTGCTGTGTGTGACCCGAACACCTTCAAGGACAGAACACGCCCAAGCAATGGGAGGGCATCCATTATCAGGCACCTGAGGCTGTGACAAACTAAAGCAGCAGCTCAGGGCTGCTTCTCAAACATCCCCCTTCTCTAAGCTGAACCCCAAGTCCAGTGCACTAGGTGGGAGCCACTGTGGTGGGGGTGGAAGTGGGAGCAGTTATCAGAACTCTAGCCTGAGTGGCCCACACTCCTGTTCCTGACCCCAAGGTTCCTGGGAGCTGGGGTCCCACTTTCCAGTGCCTGTGCTGGGTGGCGGTGGTAAACAAGTGATTGACACGACCACGTGACGTGGCCCCCCACACCTGCTCATCACCCCATTTCACAGATGAGGAAATGGAGGCTCAGAGATGGCTCATGGCCAGTATGTGAGGACTCTGGAGCGTACCTCCTGCACCGGGAGAACCTGAAAGGGTCTGGGCAGGGCTGCCCTAGGAGGGCAGCCCAGGGTTCCACCCATGAACTCTGCCAGGGCTGAGAGAGAGAGAGGATCTAGCTGTGCAAGAGTGTGTTTGGGAGGACTAGGGCTCTGGGCACTCACAGCAAAGATGCCCCTCCCAGCCCAGCCCTCTCCTCCCAGAGCCAGCTACCAGCTCCAAGAGGAAGGGAAGGAGAGTGAGAGGAAATCCACGCTCTCCCACACTCACAGGGATGTGTCGTACACACACACACAGCTCTCCCAGAAACCCACGATGCACACACGAGGCACTCCATGCCCTCTGCCACCCACCACACAAGACCCTCACTGGTCAGGCACACCCCACCTCCATGCTGCCACTTGGGCAAAGCTCCTTCCACCTCCTTCTGGCATTCTACAGGGGAAGTCTCCCAGCCTAGCTGGCTGTCCACCCTGTAGAATCTCCCTCCCACAGTGGAGAGTGGGTGGGAGGGTGAGGTGGGGCAGTTTAGGTCCCAAAGGGGATGAGGGGGTGAGGAGAGGGAGGGTGGGGTGGGGAAGGGAATGAAGGATAGAGGTGGCTCAGAATGGAGTGTGGGTGCCCAGAGGGGTCCAGGCTCACTGCGGATGGGGATGGTCCCAGCTCTACTGAAAGGAGAGAGGAAGACAGATGAGGGGAGGGGGCTTCATTTTTCAAGAGGTGGTGCCTGGCCAAAACGGATCTTTGGGGATGAGAACACCAGGGCTTAGGGTATAGAGCCAGAGGAGAAACCCCCGGAGCTAGGGGTTGGTGGGGGCAGAAGGGGGTCTCAGAAAAGTAGCGACTCGAGCAGGGATCCGGGATGGAGAGGAGGAGGGGGCTGGAGGCGGTCGGGGCTTCTTTCCCGGGAAGAGATGGAGGTTAAGGGTGAGGTCGGAGCTGGGAAAAAAAGAGGGTTTGGCCAGGACAAAAGTAGGGGGGCGGTGGCGTGGGTGGAGGGGCTCCGAGGTCCCAGGCTCCGGCAAAGGTGTGGATCCCGAGAAGTGGAGGGGGGCCGGCGAGGGAGGGGGTCGTCCAGGTCCAG